TAGGGTCGGCAGCGGGGCCGGCAGGGCGGCGACGGGGCCGGTAGGGCGGCGACGGGGCCGCTAAGGGCGGCGAGGTGGCCGCGAAGGGCAGCGACGACGGGGCCGTGAGAGGGGCTGCGAGGGGCCGCGAAAGGGGCCACTAGGGGCCCGAGGAGGGCGCGACGGGCCGCTAAGGGCTAGGGACGCGACGGGGGGGGCACACGGTGCGCGACTCGGGCAGGAGAGAAGCGCGCTACGGGCAGAAAAAATTTTAGTGGTGGGCCCTTAGGAAGCGTTCCCACTAGGGAACCTGCTATATACCATGTGTGAATCTGAGGAAGGAATGATTACATTGAGCAGCATGAGAAGTACAAGTAGAAAACCCTAAAGTGTTGTACCCCATATGGACTACCCCACTACAGCCTAAACAGACTATAGCATATAAGTTCGACAACTTGAACTAGCCATCGTCAACGATTATCGACAATACGATTGGGCAGCTGCAAATAAATGCCTACAGTTCGAGCAACTGGTATTTTTTTTTATCCATGTCATTTGGGGTGTGTTGGATCAGTACGTGCACTGCTGTGATAACCTTGCATGGAATGTTTGAATATGGGGGAGGGGGGAGACAGAGTGCTTTCGCACTGTACTCTCTCTGCAGATTTCAGGAACTTAGTCTGACCTGCGGCATGTGCGGTGTGAGGCACAAAGTACTCGACCGTCGACCTACTCTTGCACAAATGCGCATATAGTCACTTGCGGTTGCAATGCTGGCAGGCCGCCCTGTAGCAGTGTTGGTGTGAAGAAATGAGGAATGATTTACTAGTGGGAAGGTCGTGTACAAGTACAAACCCTAGAAATATTGTACCCCATATGTGCTACCCCACTATAGCCTACATAGGCTAAGCCATATAAGTCTGACGCAACCCCATAAGCAAAGTGGGGGAGAACAAGGGGTCACAAGACCAGTCAAGCAAAGCAAAGCAAGCTCAGGGTGGATCACAACGTCACCACACATTCCGAGCACAAGTTCAAGGCCACAAGGCCAGTTCACATGCAAGATCATATATAAATGTAAACAAGCAAGTGCAGGTATAGAAAGATCACAGTACATGCAAGGTCACGAAGTGAGCAAGTGAGGCCAAGTAGGCACAAGACCTAGCATCGTACAGCAGCGCTGATGATCACAAGGCGGAAGTGCCTTGGTAAAGATATCAGCAGTGTTGGCCTCAGAGGCCACGTAAGCAAGGCGCAGCTGACCACGCTGCTGCAGCTCACGAGCAAGAAAGTAGCGAAGAGCAATGTGCTTCGTTCTGTGCTCCAGTCTGTGCTCCCGACACAAGGCCAGCATGGCCTTGTTGTCTACGTACAGAACTGGAGGAGAACGAGGCGGCTCATCCAGGTCGGTCAGCAGGTAGGTGAGCCAGTGTAGCTCCTGTGCAGTCATGGCCCCCGTGTAGATCTCAGCCTCACAGCTGGAGCCGAGAACAGAAGGCGAGCGGGTATACCGCCACGAAACAGAACCGGAACCAAGGCTGAAGGTGTAACCCTGTGACGACCGCTGCGTAGCCTGGTCGTCAGCCCAAGAAGCGTCTGCGTGACCTGTGAGAACCACTGAACCCCGCCCTCCATGCACTAGCCCCATGCCCGACGTACTGCACAAGTAGCGCAACACCCTCTTCGCTGCAGCCATGTGCTCTGGTCAGTGTCTCCTAGGAGCAACATAGCGTGCCAAGATGCTAAGAGGGTATGCAAGGTCAGGTCGAGTGCAGGTCATCAGGTACATGAGGCAGCCAACAAGCTCTGGGTACGGGCCACTCGGCTCTACGGACTCATCCGAAGGCAGAGCTGAGAGCGAGTGGGGAGTAGACAGAGGAGTGGCCTGAGGCGAGGAGTACGTGAATTCGAAGCGCTGAACGACCTGCTGCACCATGTGTGACTGTGTCCGAGTAATGGTGCGCTGTGCTCTGTCCCGGGTGATCTGCAAGCCAAGGTAGCTGCGCAGTTCACCCAGGTCTGTGCAGGTGTGTCTCATCTGTAGCTCGGACTTCACGTGGGCGAGTCCAGCAGTGTCAGCAGAGGCAAAGAACAAGTCGTCAACGTACACGAGGATGTAGAACGGCAGCAAAGAGGTGTCGGTGCGCAGAAATAGCGACGGGTCGGCAGTAGAAGGAGCAAACCCAAGAGCCGCAAGCGTAGTTCTCAGTGTGTCATGCCACTCACGGGGAGCCTGGCGGAGACCGTAGACTGGCCGCCGGAGGCTCCAGTGGGTACTAGGAGGAAACGACCCAGTGAAGCCAGGTGGGCGGCGCAGCCAGATCTCCTCGTGCAGGCTGCCCTGCAAGAAAGCTGTGCTGAAGTCAAGAGAGTGAAGCTCGTAGTCGCGCTGAGCGGTTATGTGTAGCAGCACCCAAAGAGTGGTCATCTTCGGGGTGGGAGGGAAGGTATGAAAGTAGTCAACTCCCTGCCGCTGACTGAAGCCTCGAGCCACGTAACGCGCCTTGAAGACAGGCGGAGAACCCGGCGACAGCTTCACCCTGAAAATCCACATGCCACTGACGATGTTCGCCCCAGGTGGGGGAACCTCGTCGACGTAGGTGCCTGTGGACTTCCAAGAAGCCATCTCTGCGTCCATGGCTGACTGCCACTGTGAGGAGTAGGGACCCTTGATCGCCTCAGCGTACGATCGAGGAGTCGGGATGTCTAGTGCATCTGGGTCTCCCTCAGGGGCAATCAACATGGACACGAGATGAGGCAAAGCAGCAGCAAAACACTGGAACTCCTCCTGCCTGTCCTCAAGGACGTCCGTGCTAAGAGCACACTCACCCCCGACGGACGGAGGACAGACAAACTCAGACTCAGCAACAAGACACGCGGCGTAGTCTAAACGACAGTGAGCAGCGAAGTCGACAAGCTCAGCAACTAAGGCAGACGTAGCAGTGGACAAAAAGGAAGGGTCAGTGACAACAATAGCCAGAAGACGCGTGACAGTAGGACTGGCAGCAAGAAGGGAGTCAGACTCCGGGTCAGCAAGGGCAGGAAGAGAGGAATCAGGAGGAGACGGCAAAGGGACACGCTGCGGAGCAGTGGAAGGTCGTAGTGCCATCTGGTGCGTGCCCGGGACCGCAGGAGGATGCGGACACGGAACACGACGACTAGTGCGAGCAGAAAGAACAGGCGACGCAGGACGAGACGCATGCTCACGACGCTCAGCAAGACCTCTAGTAGGACCAGTGTAGGGAGAAGGAGCATGCAGTGGTGAGGCGGGTTGTAACTGTGACTGCGACTGGACAGGCTCTGGACACTCTAAGGGAGGAGGACCAGTAGAAGGCGGGAGACCAAGAACCTGCTCAAGGAGCGGAGCGAAGTATGGCCGCGGCACTCAGCGCCTCGAGAAACAGCAGGGACCGCAGCAGCAACCCCAGCAGTAGCACCAGCGTTAGTAGTACCTCCAGCTCCAGTAGCGCCAACTCCAGCACCCTCAGAAGCACCAGCGCCAGCTGGACCTCCAGCTCCAGCACCCCCAGCAGCACCAACAGCTCCCGCGCCTCCAGCAGCACCAGCAGCACCTCCAGCAGGGCCACCTTCAGCAGCCCCAGCAGCACCCCCAGTCCAAGCAGCTCCAGTACTGCCAGTACGAGCACCTCCAGGACCAGGGGCTCCAGCACCTCCAGTGTCGACCGCAGGGTCAGCAGCAACAGCAGCATCTCCAGCTCCAGCAGCACGGCTCGAGCGCCTGGCAAACCACTCGCGCAACTTCTGTGGAGAGGGTAACTCCTGCCGAGGCAAAGCACCCGAAGGAATCCCAGACCCAGCACCCCCAGGCTCCGCACCCCCAGGCTCAGCACCCCCAAGCTCAGCACCCCCAGACTCCGCACCCCCAGGCTCAGCACCCCCAGACTCAGCACCCCCAGGCTCAGCACCCCGAGGCCGCGCACCCGCAGGCTCAACACCCCTAGCAGCACCAGAGTCAACAGCTACCTTGATAGGCTCGACCGCGTCTACCTGGGACACACCTGACGGGGCAGGACCTTGAGGGGGGAGAAGGTCTACCGGGGGGGGACCTGGCGCGAGGAAGAGCGGCGGCGGGGGGAGGGAAGAGACGGTAGTAAGGAACCGACTCGTCAAACGTGACGTTGTGGGAGGACAGAACACGGCACGAAGTGGGGTGGTAAAACTGCCAACCAGGCGCGTCAGGGGGGGAAGCCAAGGAAGACGCAGGGAACAGCACGGGGGGACAGCTTGTCCGCAGATAAGTCGCGGACAAACGCCCGAGATCCCCAGACACGGAACGCAGACGCATCGCCAACCTTCCCCGTCCACCGCAAGGTGGGGAAGGTCTCTTGCAGGGAGACCCTGGGGTGAAGGTTGATCTGATGCGCCGCGTACCGAACCGCAAACGTCAACAGAAAATGGGGAGCAGCCGCATGGATCATGGACGTACGAGCGACGTCCATGACCATGCCAATGCGGCGCTCAGCAATCCCATTTTGTTGTGGAGAGGCTGGAAGCGTGAACGTCTGGCGGATGCCCTGTCCATGACAGAAGGCTCCGAGAAGGCCAGAGGAAAACTCCCAGCCTCTGTCAGAGTGGTGACGCAGAACAGGAAAGTCCGAGCCGAAACTCTCCCGGAGTTGGAGACGAGCTGCGCGGATCCAGTCGATCAACGGGAGACCAGAGACAAGGTAACGGGAGGCCATGCCTCGGAGACGAGGCAAGGAGGGGTGACCAAGGCAGTGGTGCCAGAGGAGAGTCTGGTGAGACAGGAGACGACACGAGCAGGGAGCAGACTCAGGACCAGACCTGGACGCTGCAGCAAACACCTGACCCGACGCAGCTACCTGACCAGACTCAGCAACCGGGGAAGACTTAGTAGTCAGTGTGTATAGGCTCGACCCCGGCTGACGGGTAAACGTGGCCAAGTGTCGGCCCGTCCGAGCACACGTACAGTGGGTCACTCGCTGACTCGCTGGAGTGAATTGGTCAACCCTACCATCCTGTAGATCAGCTCCACTCACCAAGTTCGTGGAGAATGAGGGGAGGTAGAGACCTGATAGGGTGCCAGAGGGGGCCACTGGACACGGTAAGACAGTGGAGAAGTGGGCAAGGACAGGACCCCTAGAGGGGTCCGCCAGGGAGACCGCAACCGGCCGACTAAGCGGCGTAAGCGTGGTGCGGTCTCGGAAGAAGGAGCGGGAAGCACCCGAGTCAAGGGTGAAGGTGTGTACGGCCTGAGCCGACGTGGTACCTGAGAGAGCAGACTCACCAGCACCTGGGGCAGCAGACGCATTAGCACCTAGAGCAGCAGCCTCACCAGCACCTAGAGCAGCAGCCTCAATGCCCGGGTCAGGCGGAACACACAGGTAACAGTCACCCTCATCACTAGTAGACACAACATACATGGCAGAAAGAATAGCATCATAATCCAGATGAAAGATAGCAACCCCCGACCTAAGCAGCTCGCCCTAGCGGGGGATCTCAGTGGCGTCAGGGAACTGAAGCCGTCAGGCGGCCGAAGCAGCGCAGGGTGGTGTGGGGGCCACCTCACGGCTCACCAGTGCGGTCGCCGGTACGCAGGACGTAGGCACAAGGACCAGCACCCCCGCCCTGCTGACGCGCAGCGTACCACTCACGAAGCTGATGGGGGGGCGGGGTCTCACGAGTGCGCTGCTGCTGCTGGCGCTAACCACCACCGAAGCCGCCCCGCTGCGCAGAGCCACCCCGACCAGCTCCGCCTCCACCACCGCCACCTCTGCCACCGCCGCCACCACCACCTCCTCCGCTCCCACCGCGACCGCCGCCGCCGCCTCCGCCTCCACCGCCGCCACCGAAGCCCCCACCCCCGCCACCACCCCCACTGCCACCCCCACTCCCTCCGCCGCCTCCACCGCCACCTCCACCACCCCTGCCAGCCCCTCCAGCGCCCTTGCCCCCCTTGCCCTTGCCGGTGCGGCGTCTCCCGCTAGGGGCAGACGCAGCGCCAACCGACTCGATGCCAACGAAGTAGTCGGCAGCAGCAGAGGCAACAGAGGGCAAAAGGGGGGAGGGGGGGCACCCCTCAAAGAAGGGGGCACGAGGGTCACCACGAGAGGCTCCTACAGCGACTATACTCTTCTCAGCTGCTAGGAGGCGCTCCTCTAGGAGGTCAACGGTGAGTGTGGTGGGGCAAACAGAGAGGAAGTGGTCCCTGACCGAGCGAAGGGAGTCAGGGAGCCGGGTGACTATGTAGTAGATGGTGATGTACATGGGGGGGGGGGGTTCTTGGCGCAGAACTCAGCAGGAAGCGCAGCGCGGTAGCGGGTGTCACTAGTGCGAAGGTGCGTAATGAGGTCAGCGACTGTGGGAAAGGCGGCGAGGTCAGGAAATAGGTACGGCAGCATGAGGCGGCTAAGGGCAGCAGTGGCAGGGGAAGAGTAGCGGGCAAGGCGGAGGCGCACCGGCAGGGACGGGCCGAGGCGCGCAGGCAGAGCCGAGGCGCGCCGGCAGGGACGGGCCGAGGCGCACCGGCAGGGACAGGTCGAGGCGCGTTTGCAGGGCCGAGGCACACCGGCGGCTGCAGTCAGCGGCTGCGGCGGCTGCGGTCCCGGCTGTGGTGGCGGCGGCTGCTGCTGGTGGCGGCTGCGGCGGCTGCGGCCCCGGGAGTAACGGCGGCGGCCGTTGCTGTCGGCGGCACCGGCGGTGGTGGCTCCCGCTGCAGGGGCGGCGACGGCTGCTGTTGCAGGGGCGGCGTCGGTGGGGCGGCAGGTCCGTGAGGGGAGCCGAGAAGGGGCCTGAGGGGCCGCGAAGGGCGGTGACGGGGCCAAGGAGGGGCCACAAGGGGCCGCAAAGGGCGGCGACGGGGCCGTGAAGGGCGGCAACAGGGCCGCGGAGGGCGGCGACGGGGCCGCGAAGGGCGGCGACAGGGCTGTGGAGGGCAGCGACGGGGCCGTGAAGGGCGGCGACAGGGCCGGAGAGCGGCGACGGGGCCGCGGAGGGGCCGGAAGGGGCCGTGAAGGGCGGCGATGGGGCTGTGAGGGGTGGCGACGGGGCTGCAAAGGGCGGTGACAGGGCCGCGAAGGGCGGCGGCAGGGCCGCGGAGGGCGGCGATGGGGCCGCGAAGGGCGGCGACAGTGCCGCGGATGGTGGCGACGGGGCCGCAAAGGGGCCACGAGGGGCCGTAAGGGGCCGCGAGGGGCCGTGAGAGGGGCCGCGAGGGGCCTTAGGAGGGCGCGACGGGCCGCTAAGGCTAGGGACGCGACGGGAGGGAGGGCACACGGGGCGCGACTCGGGCAGGAGTGAAGCGCGCTCCGGGCAGGTAAAAAAAAAAATCGATTTCGTGGTGGGCCCTAGGAAACGTTCCCACTAGGGAACCTGCTCTATACTATGTGAAGAAATGAGGAATGATTTACTAGTGGGAAGGTCGGGTACAAGTACAAACCCTAGAAATATTGTACCCCATACGTGCTACCCCACTATAGCCTACATAGGCTAAACCATATAAGTCTGACAGTTGGCAAGCTGCCTTGGTGTTGCGTTGGTAGGTGGCCGACTTACAATATTAACAAGCCTTCTCCTAGCTGTGTTGGCGCAGTGCTGACTTGAAGTGCTGGCAGGCGGCCCCGTACTATGCTAGAGGTCGACCTGCCTGTGTGCTGGGATGCTATGCTCTGATGTAGTTTTTGTTATCATTGCCATTTTCCATCATTATTGTGTAGTCCTTCTGCTAGTGAAACTCTTGCCAATTTGCCCTGTGAGAGCGCAAGTAGAGAGAACACAAGAAAACGCTACGATCACTCGTACCACCCGTGCCTTCCCCCGTAGTCCAGCTCCCGGTGTAGAGTGACTCTCTGCAGGTACGTTGGGGTGTGCCTCCTGTGTCAGCCCCTTGTCGGCCCCTTGTCGGCCAATTGCCTATTGGATTCATAGGCGGAGATTGCCCAGCTAAAAGCACAGCTGACGGAACTGGAGTCAGCATGAGAACGACGACCAGCGATTCTTGCGCAGGAAGAGGTCAACAGTTGCTATAGCAAGTGGAATTCCACTAATATAGCTGCTCGATAGAGCCCACAAGAACAATTCCCACGCACCTAAGTTTGGAGTAAATCGTCAACTATAGCCAAAGATACACACAAACATAGCAGTGGTAGAGGCTTAGTTGGTTTCTGGTTTGTGCTCTCTGGTTTTATAGGAGAATGCGGTACAAGAAGAAAGCACACAAAAAAGTGTCGACACGGGTCGCACATTGAATTTCGTCAACGCGAAATTCTGAGGCTTGAATTTCGCCAGGCGAATTCTGTTGACTAGAATTCCATAGACGAGAACTTCCGCGACCAGAATTCGGTCGACCACCGACTGTAAGTCCCGTGAGAATTTCGTTGACTTTAACACTTCGCTGCCGAGTTTCAAACCAAACGCAACCCAAGATCGGTCTCTCCAAACTGTCCCCAAACTATCCAGCGAAAGACTCGTTTAGGACACTAGAATCGAAAGGTTTCTAGTTCGAAACGCGCGTGCATCATAACTAGCAGAAACTATCATGAAGCTGTGCTGGGACACTTTTAGGACAGGTTGAGAATCACGAGTTCAAATCCCAGTAGCGGCATTTTCTTGCTCATGGCGGCATTTCCTTCTAACAGCAAGGGAGAAGGAGGCGTTTTCCTTCTAACAGCAAGGGCAACATTCTCTTGCTCATGGCGGCAGAGGGCGGAGAAGCAAAGTGGATGCCAAAGACCGGTGAGACAATGGAAGTGGTGATGCGACTAGGCACAGTGGAAGAGTGCTCTATGCGGGTGCAGTGCAGGGTGTCGGAATCAAAGGACTACGACCAGTTGATTGGGGCCGAGTTTTCGTTGTAGACGCGGGCATGGATCTGCATGTGGTAGGAGAAGGTTACGTACCGAGTCTAGTACTGGGAGAAGAACGGGCCCATAGGCATGTTACCAGTGCGCTTCATCAAGAGGGAGCCCAAAGAAGCTTACCAGTGCCAGGAAATGCCATTAGAAGAGGAGACCGGGGAAAGGAATAGGAGGCAATCGGGGGCCATGCCTACAACGGCTCAGCCCGGGAGCAGCTCGGACGATCTTAGGGAGCTCTGCCCGAACACCAAGAGGTTGCTTGGCACAGTGGTGGTGCTGGAGTTGTTCGGAGGGATAGGGACGGGCCTGGCGGCGCTGCTCAAGGCATGAGACTACATCGATAAATGGATCCTGGTGGAGCGGGATAAAGTTGCAGTGAAGATGACGTAGTATCACGTAGAGAAGTTGCACGAGAAGAGCTTATTGTGCGGAGGAGGACGTGAGGGGAGTGGACGAGCAGGGTCTGAAGGAGTGGGGAAAAGTAGACATGGTAGTAGGGGGATGGAAATGCCAAGGGTACTTGCGGGGAGGGAGGGGACGAGGAAGGAGGGATGACCGCAACCAGCTCTTTCACAAATTGGATGGCGTACTACGCTTGGTGAAAACAGCGCAAGGTGACATGCTTTACGTGCTGGAGAATGTGGACATAGAGGGAGACATTAGAAAACAAGTGTAATGAGCTTATGAAGAGATTATTGCCATTCTGGGGGCAGGAGAGCCAGCGGATGCTGCACAGGCCAGTAGCAGGATGCATCGAGTGAGTGGCTGCTAGTAGTATGGCATGAGCAAAGCCGAGTTCAGATATCAGCTGTCGCTGATGGAGAGGCCGTGGCCGTTACTAGTGGAAGAGGTGCTGGATCGCTGACGTACTACGACACAAAAGACGAAACCTGACCACGGGTCTCAATTTCCTTGCAACGTGGTGGGTGAGCCAAGGCGAACGTGGCCAACGCTGGTGGCTAGGGAAGAGGGGCACGGGTTTGTCACCCACTGGAGCGCCGCTGGGTATATCCATAGGAGGCAGAGGAGGAGCCCAAGGGCAAATACGCACATCAGGTGGGCCCCGCACCGCCCAAGGAGTTCGACGCAGTGTGGAAAAACCATGACGATGTGGGTGGAGGAGGTCGTAGAGCACCAGAGGCGTGTGGAGAGGTTCAGATATAATAGCAATGTCCAAATAACAGTGCATGCGCCTGTTATAGGCATGTCGGAAACCCACTCCCTCTGGCCCACTCCATATACTTTCCCCATTTCTCATCTCGCACCTCCTCCGTGTGTCTTTTACCTCGCCGATTTTCTCCCCTTCTTTCTCCTTCATTCCACTTGCCCTCTAGTTCCCCATGCGGTGCCTGCCCTCTCTCTTCTACTTATGGTCGTCCTTCCCACCCTCATAAGACTTGCGCTTCAGTGGCTTACCCCATCACTGGAACCAGCAATAATGCACTCCCCTTGCCCTCGCCATTGCTGAGGTGTTTTCCCCTCCCCCCATCTCACCCTTGATCCATGCGAGCGCCTCCCCATCCTCCTAGATGTCTGTGTTAGAAAGGTAAGCAACAGAATGAATTTTACTAGAAGGGAGGGGGTACAAGTACAAAACCTAACATGTGTTGTGCTGTCAAACTCATATGCTGCTTAATGTGTAGGCTATAGTGGGGTAGCCCATATGGGGTACAACCCAATTAGGGTTTCCTACTTGTACGCATCCTGCTGCTAGTTCATCCATCCATGTTCGTTATTATGACATGGTTTCAGAGCAGGTCCTAGCCTAGGACCGTCCTTTTTTTTGGGCCCACCATTACTTAGTGACTGACTACGGTTACCGCGTTACCCCATGCCCTGCCCTGCGCTGCGCCATCAGCGCGTGCCCTGCCCTGCCCGGCCTTGCGTCACACTGCCCGTGTACGCCCAGCCCTGCGTCGCGCTGCCTCGCGCACGCCCTGGCCCGCCCCGCGTCGCGCTCCCTCGCGCACGCCCTGCCCTGCCCTGCGTCGCGCTGCCCCGCACACGCCCTGCCCTGCCCCGCGTCGCGCTGCATCGCGCATGCCCTGCCCTGCCCCGCGTCGCGCTGCATCGCGCACGCCCTGCCCTGCCCCGCGTCGCGCTGCCTCACGCACGCCCTGCCCTGCCCCGTGCCCTGCTGCACAGTGCGTCGTGCCCTGCTGCAGCCCGCGCGTCGCGCTCTGCTGCCCCGAGCGTCACGCTCTACTGCAGCCCGCGCGTAGCGCCCTGCTGCCCTGCGCGTCGCGCCCTACCGTCTGCCCGTTAGGCCCGTCGCAGGCCCTCCCTTCGCGCCGCCGCGCCTGCCTATTACGCCCGCTGCCTCGCCCGCCCGTTAGGCCTGCCGTGGGCCCTGCCTTCGCGCCGCCGCTCCTACTCGTTGGACCCGTCACGAGCCCGCCCGTTCGCCCCTCCCGCACCTGTCCGCTACGCCCGCCGCGGGCCCGCCCCTTGCGCCCGCCGTGCCTGCGTTTTGCGCCCGCCGCGGGCCGGCACTTGCTGCTGCCCACGCCAGCGCCCTGCCCTGCCAACGCGCCGGCGCCCTGCCTGCGCGCGCTGGCGCCCTGCTCTGCCCTGCCCGAGTCACCCCTGCAGCGCCCTGTGCGCCTTGCTAAACCCTAAAATAATTATATATAAAAAAACCCCTTGGTGCTTCTACCTTAGGAGCTACTGCCTGCTCTGGACGCACGCCGCCCTGCTCTAGCCGCGCGCCGCCCTGCTCTGGCCGCACTCAGCCCTACTCTGGCCGCACGCAGCCTTGCTCTGGCCGCGCGCCGCCTTTCCCTGGCCGTGCACCGCCCTTCCTTCCCTATGTGCTGCCCTGCTGGTCGCATGACTTCTCTTCACGGCAGCGGTGGGAGTGGTGGCGACGGTGGCGGCGGAAGTGGAGTGGTGGCGGCTGTCGTAGCACTCGCTGTGGAGCTGTTCGGTGAGGAGTTTCTGGCAGCGGCCAGATGCAGCAGCAGCGGCGTCCGCGTGAGACCCTTACACCTCAGCAGCTTCGTGAGTGGTTTGCTCAACGTTGGGCGTCTCAGCGTAGTGGCTGTAGTGGCAGACGCGGTGCAGCTACTCAGTTGGGAGTTTCTGGAGGTGGCCCGGTGCAGCTGCAGCGGCATCCACGTGAGACCCTTATGCCCCAGCAGCTTCGTGAGTGGTTTGCTCAGCGTTGGGCATCTCAGAGACGTGCTGAGGGTGACTGTTACCTGTGTGTGCCGCTCGACCCAGGTATAGAAGCTGCTGCTCTAGGTGCTAGTGATTCTGCTCTCCCAAGTACTGGTGACTATGCTCTCTCTGGTACTGCATCTGCTGCGGCCCTGCACACCTTCACGCTTGACTCAGGTGCTTCCCGCTGTTTCTTTCGCGATAGTACCACAGTCACACCGCTCTCTGCACCTGCTGCTGTCTCTTTAGCTGACGCCTCTGGGGGCCCAGTTCTTGTATGTTCCTCCACTGTTCTGCCTTGTCCGACGGTTCCGTCTAGCTCACTGTCAGGTCTCCACCTCCCCTCGTTCTCTAGGAACTTGGTGAGCACCACTGTCCTCCAGGATGCGGGGGTTGAAACCTTCACCCCTGGACGACAGCGTGTGGCAATCTGTACGTGCTACCG